TTACCCACGTACAATTATAATATATATATATATAACGGTTGACCTTATTCGTTTTTTGTAATTTCTGACCTATAAACACAATATTTCGTAATTTTTAATAAAAATTTTAGAGTCTATATGTAAATCACTCCTAATATTATCGATTCAGAACCCCCATTGAACCAGCTAGGGTTTTGGTATATCCAATATCGACTCGATTGCCTGTTGGTAGTCCAATTGGCTAGAACAAGGTCTTTTAAAAAATAGTAAAATAATAATCTAAAGTATGAAATATATTTTTAAAAAACATGTCTAATTTTTAAGCTCATTTGAGCCAATAAAAAAACTACTTCACCCTTAGTTTTCAAAAAATTATTTCACATCGGCTGGACCGCATTTCTACAATATGCAGTCTAGAGGTATAAACATTCATCTTAAAGATGGATTAAGATGGATTGAAATAGATGGTCCATCCAAAAGCAAATGTAACTAATGGTCCAAATGTTTTTTTAATATAATTACTATTTTTAATTCTCTCTAAAAGTTAAGATTAAATTATATTTAAAAAATATATTTATTATCAAACCCGCATTTTTACTCTGACTAGCCAAGATACAATCCAGCCAGGTCTTTGATAACATTACATACTTTTTGGGGGTGAGCAACACATCGCAACCTTCCCCTGTTCACATGTAGGGCTAGGATGATGCGATGGAGTTGTGGGAAACTCCACTGATATTTCTTACAGGAAGCAGATGCGAAGGGAATATTCCCCATTTACCCCTAGTCACTGACGCCACAAGCTAACCCATGCTTCATTTCTCTCACCTACAACGACTTATGATTGATGGCCCATTTCATCGGAGATGGGTGGCTCTCCTCTCTTTTTATAAATACCCTTCTCTTTCATGATCTCTACCATCTATTCAATACTCTCTCTCCTCTTCACTGAAACATTTCTTCTTCCTCTTCACTGAAATTCTATCACTTCTTCTTTGAAACCCTAACCCTAATTTAGCAGTAGTCATGGCGGGTACAGGTGTTTTTGCTGAGATTTTGGATGGAGATGTGTATAAATATTATGCAGAAGGGGAGTGGAAAAAGTCGAGTTCTGGTAAAACTGTTTCAATTATTAATCCCACTACTAGGAAGCCTCAGTATAAAGTTCAAGGTAAGATTACGGCTTTGCTTGTTTGCTCATTTTAAGTTTTTAACTGTAACTTTGCCCGTTTATTTTTTTCAAATTTTTCTGTAATTTTATCTCTTCCCTTTTTGGATTTAGCTCTGCTTCTTGTTTGAAAATTGAAGTGCTATGGAGCTTTTCTGAAGTGTTTGCAGAGTAAAGTTTTGTAATTTGATGAAAATTATGAATTGGGAGAAATGTTCACTTAATGTTTAATTGTTTATTACTCCTGCAATGCTGAAACTTATTTTGAATTTATTGTGATTTCTCTGGTGTTTTAGTTGAATTCAGTCTCTGATTTTAGCTCAATTTCGAACCAAAACTAAGATCCTTTTCCACTATTTACAGGAACTGGGAACTCTACTTATTTGCTTTAACAAAGCAGATGTTTAAGAAGATTTTGATCCTTAATTTTTACCTTCTGAAACTAACTGTATTTAGTCTATGTTTCAGAAGTTAAAATAGAAATCGATGAATTTTCGCATAATTAAAAGGTAAAAAATAGCTAAATAATTTTCTGCATAGGAAGTTCCTGAAAAATATAGAAAAAAAAGAAAAAGTAAACCTGGAGAAAACAAGTGAGAGAAAATAAACGAAACTTTTTGCTGGCAAATCTTACTTTTTCGTTTTTTTTGGTTTTTGAAGCTTGTACACAGGAGGAGGTAAACAAGGTAATGGACACAGCAAAGGGTGCTCAAAAATCATGGGCTAAAACTCCTCTTTGGAAAAGGGCAGAGCTTCTTCATAGAGCTGCCGCCATTTTAAAAGAGCACAAAGCTCCCATTGCTGAATGTCTCGTCAAAGAAATCGCCAAACCTGCAAAAGACTCTGTTACAGAGGTTGCATGCAATTACATCTCCATTATTACTTTCATTTCTGAGCAATAGATTTCAGGTCAAAGAAGAAATTCTTTTTTTTGGATATATAGAATGAAAATTCTCATGTTTTTCCTCCATTGTTTGCTCCATTTTAGAATAAACCCAAACTCCATTTTGGTTAAAAATAAAGAAAAATCATATATTTCCTCTAATGTTTGCTATATTTTAGGATATACCCAATTGAACAAAAAAAAAAAACGCCTCTTTTGGTTACAATTAAAAATAAAAAATAATAATCTTTTTGCTCTTTGATACCTGCTCTGAAGAATGAAGAACGCAAAAAATTGTTGTTCCAGAATTGAAGTTGAATCAAATGCCAGTATTTAGAAGATTCAATCAAATGCCAGTATTTAGAGGATTCTCTCAAAAAAACCAAATGCCAGTATTTAGAAGAAAAAACAGTAAATTTTTATGGTGATTTCATTGGCATGCTTTTCATTTTTTTATTTGTGGAATTCAGCTTATAGTATATTATGGTTTCATTGGGGTGATTTTTGTTTTTTTTCATGATTATTGGGTGAGGAAGGTTGTGAGATCAGGTGATCTGATTTCTTATTGTGCGGAAGATGGAGTGAGAATACTTGGAGAAGGGAAGTTCCTGGTTTCTGATAGCTTTCCTGGTAATGAGAGAAACAAGTACTGCCTTTCTTCTAAGGTAAATTTCCCCCTGTTCTTTCTCTTATGCTTTTTGAGCCTTTCAAAAGTTGGCGCACCTTAATCGAAAACCAAGCTCAGATCTAGGTCTCGGGTCGCCAGTGCAGGCCCGACCCCACCCTGCATAGGTCTGGCCTGGGCTGCCGGTGCAGGCGTGACCCTACTCCTTGTTGGAAGGTCTGGCCTGCGCCCGGCCAGGCCAAGGAGGCCCTCGTTCAAGCCCGGTCCAAGCCCTGGTCCTAGCCCTCTTAGGGCCAGGCTAAAAAAACAAGTATTGGCTCCGACTCTAGCCAATCCCTCTAGTCACATTTTTGTGGCCCAAAACCTAATTTTTTGGTCCAGGACGGGCCACCTGGCCCATTGCCACCCTTACTCAATTTAATAAGGTGGGATACTTTAAATGGAAATTAAGATTGCATCTTTTTTAAAAAAAATTGGAGCAATCCTATGTAAAAAAAAATGAAGCTCGAAGCACCTGAGAGACATTTTTCTTTCTTATTTGGTTGGTTGGAAGTCAAATTGCATATTTCAAGGGTAAGGGTAACGACTGAAAATCACCCAATTTTTTATTAAATGACTACAATACCAAAGGGCTTCGTTAACTATTAAATTACACCGACTTTTACGGTACATTTAGTACGCGTGAAAGAAGTTGCTCGTATACTTAGTTGTTGGAGTATTTTCGAGACCGATTAATCCCCGCATATAGCTTCACACCAAATGGCTACTTCGGATTCTACCCAGTATATGCCAAGTGTCACATCAGTAGTTGTATAATATGTACCCCTCTTGGTCCACGTTTCCAATGGTTTATGAATTAATTCATGCGTCATGGTTTATTTTTTTTTATTTTTTATTTTTCTGTTTCCCTCTTCTTTAGCATGCGGGCAAGCCACAAACGCGGGCTCGGCAATAAATATGTTTTTAAGAATCTGGTTCCTATATGGCCAAGCTCACATATGTAGTAATGCGGCCCTCTTAATAAATCTATTTTTGAGATGGATTTTAATAGTTAATTTTTAAGGACATGTATTCTCTAACATGGAGATTATGAATATGAAAAAATAAATAGATTTTAAGAACTAAAAATAACAATTCTAGAAATATAACATTTGGACCAATAGTTTCCATTGTTTTAGATGGAACACCTACTTGCATCTATTTTTAAGATGGATGCTTCACACTTTTTTGACCTCATATGTAGAAATGCGATCTAGCCCGTATGAAATAATTTTTTATTTTTTAAATATAATTTGATCTTAATTTTTAAATAATATATAATCTTTAACATGGAGATCATGAATATGAAATAAATAAATAAATTTTAAAAATTAGAAATAATAATTATATTAAAAAATATTTTGAGCTAGTATTAAAAAACAATTATTTTTAGATGGCCATGTATTTGCATCCATCTTTAAGATCGGATGCTTTATACCTCTGGACCACGTATTGTAGAAATGCCGTTTAGCCGTGCATGAAACAGTTGTCCTTTTCTCTTCTTTTGTTTTAAAGTAGTCTTGGCGTGCTCTTGCGAGAGCATGATGTATGTTTACTCCTTAGTTTGGTATCCCTATTTCTTTTATGCCTTATTCGGTTCCCGGTAAATGGATATTTTGGGGAGATACCTCCGTTGGAATTGGTATCTCCTAGAATTGACATCTCCGAAATTATAAATGTATGTTGTTTGGATAGCTTACGGTAAGAAGCCTGGAAATAGTTGTCTATTGTTTGGATTGTCCGGAAGATGTCTCTTGAAAATTATATAATATGATAGTTTATTATATAAGTCGTGGGAGGCAAGGCACACAGGGGATAGG